ATGTTAGTATGTGTTCATCCTGAGTGATAATTGAAGACTGGTAAGTCAGTTCAAATCAGACTGTTGAATAGTTAAGGGGGAAAAAAAAAGCTAATATGAAAAATGGCATAATAATTTTGTAGCAGAATGAGATGATCAAATAGTTTCCTTTTGTGGAGTTGACTTATATCTGGTGTTTAAGAATTTGAGGCAGGAGGAATGCCACAAGTTTGAAGCCAGTATCAGTAAGTTAAAATCCTAGGGTAGACAGCCAAATGGGGCAGGGCGGGGCGGGTTCCTGCAGCCTATTTTTTTAAAACAGCATTGCAACATAGCTATATGCATGTTTGTTTACAGGTTTTGTGCTACTCAGAACTGAGCAGTTAAGACACATTTGGACAGTTAAAATACTATCTGGATCTTTGTAGAAAGTTTTTTGATAACTGGTTTAAGTGGAAAAAAAGGGTTATAGTGTTGTAGTTGTTAGGCTGGGATTTTATTTTGTGTTACACTGTGTAATACTATGCTTATTTTATGTAAATGTCCCATATAAAAAATTAGCTGGGTTTAAAACTGATGGAATTACAAGAAATGAATGTGGTATGGCCGATGTTTAAATGTCTACAGGCACCATGATTTGGTAAATTGAATTAGTAGAAAATGAGTTTATATTGCAGTGTTGATTTGACTTAAGTAGTTTTGTATTTAAATTTTGGAGGTTCTCATTATAAAAATTGCATATAAAAACTGGTTTTTATATTGTTTTGTTTTCATATATGTAAGTCATATTTGGATACTTTGATCCATTTTAGATACTATTTTTTGGCCTAGATAAGTATTTTTCCCACCACTCAGTCCTAATTAACTCCAGACTAACAATTGAAATTTTTTCTATTTTTGCAAATTGATTATTGGCTTTGTCTTTGATTTTCATATTCTAGTCTGAAATGATTGTCCTTGAATAGTTTTAGCTGGGGCTTTGCCATTGCTCTGGGAGTCCCTTTACTTCTCAGTATTTTTTTGGTTTGCTCTCTCTTTTGAGACCACCTTATCTGCTATATGCAAACTGGATTTTCAGGATGGCTAGATAGAGGAGGAAATTTGATGTTACTTTGAATCTTGACTTTATGAAGTCATTACTTAAAAATTGTGATTTTTTTTTTTTTTTCCTATCTCTAGTGCTCTTCAAATTTCATAACTATCTTGGGTTTATCCACTGTGTGGAGTGTTTAGTGGATCTTAAGTTTTGTAAACTCTTCTCCATCCACCATCCCAGACTGACTTCTCTGGAATTCTTATTACTGGGCACCATCCTTTGGCATTTATTTTGTTCTGTTTTCCATTGCAATCTGTTGTGCAATTTCTAGTTTAATCTTTCAATTTTTAAAAAAGATACAAAGTATCACTTATAAATTTCAAAGATACCCCCAAATCTGTTAAAAATAAGTAGGTATGTCTTCATTACCTCTAAAGGTTATTCATAATAACTTGATGAAGAGTTTTACTCCCATGCATTTCCTTGTTGCTCTGGCTTATGTAAATTTTTTAATCAAGTATTTGGTGATTTTAAGTTCATATTTAATGGAGCATTTAAAACTAACTGGATGTCGTGAATGTGTGTTGGGCCAGGAGACGAGCTTGTGAACCATATAACCTTGTGATTCTCTATCTCTACCTGTAATTTTGTATGGTTTTCTTTTCTTTGCTTTTTTTTTTTTTTGGTACCAGGGTGAGAACTCGTGACCTTGTGCTTGCCAGGCACTTTCGCCACTGTGCTAAATCCCTGGCCTTTTTTTTTTTTTTTTTTTTTCCCTTTAGGGATTCCTAGGTAATTTCTTTGCTAGTTAGTTAAGGTCATAAGGGTGTGAAAACCAGAGGGTGTGAAACCCAGCCTTGTCAATGTTCTCATTTCACTGGGAGAAGGCTGAGACATCTTAATTTGGTCCAAGGAACCTTCTCAACTGCTTCCAGTTTCTCTCCAGGTTGGTAGAGGCAGTTGTCTGGCAGTGCAGAGGACCTGGAGGTCTAATGTGGATGCTCAAGACTGAGGCAGTCTGTATTTCTACTGGTGACCTACCAGTTCTTCAGCCTTTGCTGGTGTTCTGTGAGGTTTTCTAAAATTCTGCAGTGCTGACAGGATATTTTAGCTTCTAAAGTTTTGTTGCTGTCTCCTGTTGCTTAAGTTTATTGCTATTACTTTGTAAAGATCTCCCTATTTTAAAAAGTTTCTGGTTTTTATTAGTGTTTCAGAAGAGTGATGGTACTGTGATCTATTTTGGGTGTGCATGGGTAGTTGTGAAAGGTTTGGGAAGACAAAAGCAGGAAGTGAAGTATTAACCATAAGTACCCTTAGGTGGTTTTGTGAAGAAAGTTTATAAGCTTTGTTGATTTATTATTACTTTAACCTGTACTTACTGATGTGTTGGGTAGCATTGATTTCATTTCTGAGTTGGGTAGTGTTGCAAAACTACCAACCCCAGTTTCAAGTAATGAGCTTTTGTAGGTCTGCTGTTCCAAATCATATTTTGATACCTTTTGGTTTACTGCATGTCTGCTGCCATCTTGTAACCATACTAACCTTCCACACTGGGTTAGTAATTTCCTCATTGTATTTGGCTGTGCCTGAGTTACACAGTCCCTTTTGTGTGGAACATCTATCCAGTGCCAGTTCATGATAGTCCTCTCAAAACTTTATTAGGCCTTTGATTTTATAATTAGAAACTAGTCTATATGCTTTAGCGCTTGGAGGTGTCCCTATTTGCTTAGCATAGTATTTGTGTTGGTCCTGAAATTTAAGGTCTTTGGCTTGGTCGTTTTAACGTGCATTGCAGGATGGATGAATTTGATTACACATTTGACTATTTGATAATAGTTTCCTAATAGATTCACCAGTGTGCTGACATTTAAGCATAACTCCAAACTATTTACAAAACATGATTTTTAAATAGCTACTTTTTACAAGGTAATGATTATCTATTCAGTCCTGACCACAGTTAAGCTATTATGATTTAGCATAATCTTGCCTGAAAATTTCCATAGGTAAGGTGATTCTAGTAAGCTAAGGTTTGCAAGTTTAGTCTGTATACCTTGTGATTAGCTCTCAGTTTATGCTATGGTAAATTAGGAAGAGTGATTGTAAGCTGATGGCATTTCAAAGAGGGCACCCACATCAGAATCGAATCAGTTGATAAGAGGGGGTTGCTTGGGATTTTATATTTCACATACCCCAAGTGAATTTATCTACATTTATTTATTAAAGATAATTGCTTTAAGATGGTGAAAGTAAACATGCTACTTTATAAGGCTTTTTGGCTTTTGCTGTTTCTGTATAAAGATTGGGTACATGTTTTACAAGATTTTCACTAAGCATTTTAATCATGAGTGCTAAGTTTAGCATGAAAAAAATTTTTTTTTTTTTTTTTTTGTCTTTTTCATTTTTATCGGTACCAGGGATCGAACTCACGACCGCCTGCTTGCAAGGCAGGTGCTTATGCCGCTGAGCTAAATCCCCAGCCCCCGCATGAAAAAATTTTTAAGCATTCTAATGAGTGTACAAGGTAACAGCAGTGAGCCTGGCTTGATGGCAGGCTGTTATAATCCCAGTACTTGGGAGGCTGCCTGAGGCAAGAGGATCGATGTAAGTTTGTGCATTGACTACAAAGTGAGCCCAAGGCCAGCCTGAACTGCATAGCAATACACTGTCTCAGACCAAACAAACAAAACCTCCCTAGCAATAGTAGTGTATCAAGTGGAAGAAAAGAATGGGAGAAGGGGTTGATAGAGGCTGGGAATGTGATAAGTTGATTTTTATCACTGGCAACTACAATTGAATATATTTCCCATACTATATTGTCCCAGACACCCTCTGATTTATCCCTTATCTTACTCATTGCATTATGAAATAATAATTAGCAACTCTGAAATTGACTTCGTGATGTTTTGAGATAGGCTGGTTATTGCTCTGTCTGTAACACCTTTTAGATTCTCAAAAACGGTAGTTCTGCCAGCCTCTCAAATGATCTTAGATGAAGCATGTGGCCCCAAGGGACAGTGTAATTTAGTAAAAATAGTGAGGTAATTACTAGATATTAGTGAATTGCCTCAGCCCTGTAAAGGCAGGAAATTTGTGGTGGATGATTTCTTGTAAGGGCATGGAGAAGACCTTGAAAAATTATGCTAAAAAGGAGTTAAGAAGATGCTACAGAAGACTTCGATCCTAGAAACAGAGTTCTTGTTACAGCAGTCTATGTTATTTTAACTTGTGATGAGAGGAATTTTTTTAAAGTCTTCAACTAAAATGCAGGTAGGCACTAATTCATTAACCAATGATACTAGATGTTGCAGGATTGTATTTTGGGAAATTTGATGTTGGGAAGAGACTACTTCAACGTTAATTTGTATGCTTTTATTTTGTAATCAGACTGTATTCTGTTTGCACTGTAGAATTTGAAGGCAAGGTTATTTTCCTATCTTTTAAAATTTTCTCTTAGAAAAAGTATTGGAAGAAACCTGAGAGATCTGTTAATGCCAGTATCTAAATGTGACATTTAACATGTCATGGAAACTGCTTTGAATAAATACTTTAAAAAAGGAATATATAATTGGTCTTTGTGTTGTATGGATGGCTTTGGATTACATAGAGGTTAATCACCTTTTTATAAAACTATGAGACCAATGAAGTGGACCCTTTATTTCAAAAAATTGGAAGATGGCTCTTTATTGTAGTGTAGATAAAGAGATAAGGCATAAAATAAACATTTTGATATGCTCAGAAGTTTGTTGTAAATTGCTCTTACACCCATTGATACATAAAGCATGCTACCACTAATCGATCAGCTTTATGTATTAGCATGTATTTTTAAGTATCCAGTTGACTTGATTTTAAACTACTGATGTTTTCTGTACCATTCAACATTTTCAAGACATTCTTCCCATGCAAATTCCACTGGATCCAAGTGTTTCCATTTCCAGAAACCTACTTCTGGGTCTTCATATGAAGTTGATAGGTTTTTATGGGGTTTTAATTTTCTCTGTTTTCTGAAGATGTTCAAATTGTAGTGCTTTTAACAAACTTCTTACAGCACTCATGCATTTTTTGCACTTATTAAAAAACTTTCTTGGATATCTTGAAATCCATAGGTCTCATTTGTAGTTGAACAACTAAACATGACTTTTAAACAGGCTTCTTTTGAAAATTAATGTGCAATTGGTCAGATTGTATTTATAAGTTGAATCACAATCTGGTAGGAGGACAATTCAAGCTCTCTCCCAGAATGTTCACAAAGGATCTTAAGAGTGAAGATTTTTTATGAGGATGTTCAATTTTTTTTTACCTCAATTGGGTTTGCTAAGTGTAGTGAGACTTAAAAGTGCTAATAGACATTTACTGTTTTTTTTTTTTTTAATAAAAAAGGCTTATAAAGCTTTTGGGAAATGGTAAATTCAACTAGATGTGAATAGCAATGATGCTAACCAAGATACTCAATACAGAAAAAGTGTGACAGTATTACTTCACTATTTCACGTCCTTTTGTGTGTTGAGAACTTTGAAAGGAATGTGGGCCCTGGTACTGGCTTGCCGAGAGAGGTTATTGTTACATTGGGGCATGGGGTAGTGCTGAGTAGGTGTGCTTCCTAACAAGGGCGCAGATTAAATTTAGCAAGGCAGGTGGGGTAGCACACACCTGTAATCTTATAGCACATTGGGAGGCAGAGGTAGGAGTTGCTGAGTTTGAAGCCATCCTGGTTTACGTAGTGAGACTTGTCTCAAAAAACCCAAAAAAACAAACCACAGTTTTTGCAACTAAAATTAGGGACAATAAGTGGTAGGCGTATGATGTGCCTTGAGGTTTGTTAAGTTTTTAGGGTTATGAGGTCACACACATGTTGAAGTCCCATCCCAGAAAGTTAAGCAGAAACTTAAGGGGTGTATCAGAGGATCTGGGGACTACTATGAATGTGCGAAGGTTGAAGACTAAAGGTTCACATTTGGTACTAGTATGTTTAAAAGCTGTGGAAATGACTGAAACAGTGCCATATGGTAAGTGGCTGTATTGCTAGAGAGAATACAAAGAGGAGAACAGTGCATCCAGATTGTTGGGAAGACAGCCAGCTGTCACGGTGGGTGAGGATCTTTCTCAAAGCCTGCCTTCACACTTAGGGGTCCTATAGATCTGGGCTTCTGTAGAAGCCCAGATCTACAGAAGCTTTTGCTTCTGTAGATCTGGGCTTTCTCAACTTACAGATCTTCAGGAGCTTTAATGAATCTCATGGTTTCTGGGACTCTTTGGTAAGAAGAGCAAAAAGGTGTCAAAGTAGGCTGATGTTCCAACTTATAGGATAGACATGATCATACCTGAGTTTGGAAATAAGGTTACCCAAGAGGGTATCCTGTAGAGAGCTGAGAATAGTGTTCAGAAGACAGCCAAAGGTTGAGCTCTGCTACTGGCCATTTGAGGGAATGAATGTGTGTTGCTGCATTACAAGGCCTAGTCCATTCTGTGCACCCTAGCAGCAAGCAGTGACCTCATTTGTTGAACTGTCCTCTTTCCTACATCAGGAGACTGGCTGGTGACAACTTGTGTTGTCTCATGTATAAAATGGAAACTCAGTAAAAGAAACTATCTCAAGGTGCTGTAAGGATTATGATTTCTAATTTTAAACAATGGCAATTGGTACATTGTAAGTGCTCAGTGTTATTGACTGTTTTTTTCCTGTTGACATAATTTCCAAGAATATGCAAATCCCAACCCATTTATAAGTGACCAAAGCCTGTGTTGATCATCTTCCTTGAATGCAGAGGACACTTCTGACCACCCTGTTGTAGTGTTGGATTTTTGTTGTACTTCCCTTCAGCTAAAATGTAGACTTTTAGGATTAGCATCATGTCCTACACTTAGACAAATATTCTGTTCTTCAAACAAGTTGTTTTTATCTATTTGGTAGAACCTAATGTTTTAGAATTAGTGCAAAGTAGGTATCATTAACTAATGATACTTAAATGTATCAATGCATGGTCTACGATTTCCTTAATACTTGCTTCTGACAGCTGTAGCACAAAAATAGGGAAGCCTTACCAAACAAACGCTTTCCTTCCAGGCAGCTTTCAATAGCTTATAAAGTAAATTACCTTGAAAACTGAAAACTATTAAGACTGCATGGGAAAACATTTGTATGGGGCTGTCTGCCTGGTATCAGATGATGACATGCTGCCTCGTGGAGAGAAACTGGAAAAGGCTCATTATTTACTTAGGCTTTGGGGTCTTTCCTAATATGTAAAATGAGAGGCTAGACTGGATGATTTTCTTTTTTCTTAAAGACACTGTCTTGTTTAGCTGAGCTTGGAGTTTGTGATCTGGCTGTGTTAGCCCCACCAGCACTAAGACTCCAGGTATGCGACACCATGGCTGGCTTCAGATTAGATGAACTTTAAACTCACAGTTTTCCAGCAATGATTATACTACTATACACACATATATGGGATATAATATAAAGAGGCGGTGTCATAAATTACAGAGATAATAGGCAAACTTTACAGGGCTTCAAGAATGGCAGTAAAATAATTTCTTTTCCCACACTACTCTTTAAATTCTAGCTGTGTCCTCTAAAAACCACCCAAACTGACAGCAAACAGAAGGCCGCTGCTATGCCTTCCCTGATCAAGCAAGGAGTCACACATTGTACTCCAGTTAGATATGGGTTTTCTATGACTGACTAACACTACTTGAATCAATAAAATTTGCTTTCTAGCTGTGTGACCTTGAATTTACCATTAGATGTGGTTTCTTATCTGCAGAAAAGGGCAATCATAAAAAACAGCCATTGAGCTATGCGCTTTACATTATACCAGTTTTTACCTCTTAAGTGTCACTGTAAAATGCAGTGAGCTACTCATGCCCCATGGCATGTAGTATATTGTATCAGAGTCAATATTCAGCCACTTTTCCCCCTGGGTATAAATTACAGAAATATTTATAATATTTACAATGTTTCTAATTAAAATTCTTTTTTTAAAAAAATTTTTTTATATTTAAAATTCTTTAAAAATATTTTTTGTAACTGGAAAGGTGATTTTATGAAGAAATAGCAAGCTTGACAGCCATCTAAAATGCTGATATTTGATCATTACCACAGTTAAAGTGAATGCATGGCAGGATCCTGTCCCCATGAATCTCTTAACACTTTTTCCTCCAGTACTGGTGATGGAACCTAAGCTGTCTGCCATTGAGCTGTATTTGCTGCCCTTTTTTTTTTTTTTCATTTTGAGACGGGATTTCATCTTGCTAAATTGCCCAGGCTGGCTTCGAGCTTGCAATCCTCTTGTCTTAGGCTTCTGAGTAGCTGAGATTATAAATATGTGCCACCTCACCTGCCATTAAATAATTTTTAAAACTGACTTCAGACCACAGTTTTCTACTTGGGAAATAAAACTCATGGCAGACATCTAGTTAGTAACTGCCAAAGAAAGTTGAATGCTGTAATTAGAATTCTTAAGTTTCTGGATGAGATATATCGAAAGTGACAAAACTATAAAGATAAGTAAAACAGTACCTGTGACTTACAGAAATGATAAGGCTTAGTAGGTTTTGGATTCTTTTACAAGCGTATGCCTCCATATAAAACCCAATACTTTGAATTTTTATTTCAAAGGAAATTATATAGAAGAGGCAAGTTATATTTCTGGATTCATAAAATTCTCATGTTTATAAGGATATTTTAAGTTTAAAGTTATATCTAGTTAAGTAAAGTTGTATCTAGTTGTAGGTGTTTTAGCAGTGGCATTAATGCCATCTTTTCCTGTTAATAGTTAACACAAATGATATTTACTGTGTAGGAGACATGCCCACAATTATTCAGTAACTGTGAGCCCTTTGCAGGTGCAGGAATTGGGCACAGGCTAAGAGAGAGACGGTTTGGCAGCGCTGAGCCTGGAGCTTCATTGGAGAGGCAGTGAGGCTGTAGAGGCAGCAGAGCAGTGGCATGAAAGGAACGGGGAGGGTAGAGACAAGTCAAGGGACAAAGAAACACTTCTAACCTTTTACTCCAGTTCTCTACCACTAGGAATGACTTCCTGATTGCTGACTACAGAACTCTGTAATCACATTTAACAATTTACTGGCACCTGTTGGGGATGAGAGGAGGGTCAGAGTGGTATTACATTTGTACTTAAAAGAATGATAATAATTGAAAGGAGAATTGTCATGGTGATAATTACAATCTTTTTGTAGTACTTCCACCATATCCTCCTAGGAATCTCTGTTGTTTTTTGGAATTCTTTGTCCTGAAATAAGAACACACACACAAATTTAATGTTTTCTTTCCATTCTGGACAAATAGACATACTCTTAACTTGGGGGAGATCTCTGAATTGAAAGATTTAGTTGAATTTTGACCAATTCCAAAAAAAATCTTTATAGGACTCAACCTGTGTCTCGCTGTACTTTTATTACTTTTGAGATCTTGAACAAGTTATTAATTCTTGGAGCATCAGCTGCCTCATCTTCACTTTCTTGCCACAGTTGCTTAGAATCCTACTTACACTTTCCATCTCATCTTCATTCTAAACACACTACTCTTTGAGATCTTTACATTCTAGACAAATAATAACATTCACATATTGTTAGATAAGAAATAAATACTGTGCAGAAAAATAAGCTCTATGTGGAAGGATTTCCAGCATGGGACAGTGCGTGGCACAGCAAGTATCCAGTAACCAATGACTGCTGAGTGAATAGATAATCTATAAAATAAGGCAAAGAGGTCCTCCATGCCCTGCCGCAGCCTGTGAGGACCAACTGAGGCAGTGAGCACAGTGGGTCTGAGCCACCTGAGAACCAGGCTCTTCGTGTGATGATCGATACTTTTCAGAGTAAAGATATAGTGAATTTTGTTAAGTATTTTATGGTATAGAATGTTTCCTATTTTAACCTAACTGTAAGTAGTTTACTTTTGATAACATTCAAAAGTTAAAATAATTCAAAAAGCATTGGGAGAAGTAAGGAAACAAGACCATACAAAATTTTAAATCCTTTATATTCAAAATCTACTCTATCACCTATCTTCTTGCATCCTGTTAGCCATGGCATCAATAAATCACCTCTTCCTTGTATGGACTTTTGCCGTGTGCCATGTGGAGAGGAAAGTGGAAGCCAAGTGGAAACTGTTTAAGACATATTTCAATTACCTTTATTTATCAGAACAGCTTCTTTCAGTTTATTTGATGAGCAAAGTCAGAGTTTATGGTTAGAATGTGCCAGTTCAGAGATGGCCTTGCAATTCTCATGTATAATGAGCTATGGAAGGCCAGGTTAATATACCCCAGGCCCTGTCAGTTATTCCCAAGGATCTGGCACTTGGAAGCGAGGTGCCAGGGTGTACTTTTCAGGGATGTTAGAATTTATTGAGCTCTTCAGATGCAGGTGCTCTATAAAAGGCATGTGTCTTTGCATAATCACATACATCGCTCATAATACTCTTATAAGAATATTGAAAATGGGGTCCAGAGAAGGTTAAATTACTTGTGTAAGGTTATGTAACTAGTAAGTTGTGGAGTTGAAATTCAGATCTAGAATTATATGATTGTACACTGCTTGGTTAGAATATTTTAAAGTATAAATTGATTATCTTAGACAATTTTCTTTCCTTTTTATTAATAGATATACAACATGAGAAGTCAGAATTCTAAAAGACTTATGAGTAAGAAGTGCTTACTCTTTGCCCTGAATGTATTTCTCAGAGTTAACAACTTTCAGGGTTTTTGTTCATTTCTTTATTTGGTCTGCTGTGTCTGTTGCTGAGCCCCTGTTACACACAAGAAAAAGTGGTTCACAACTGGGATCTATTTTTTCCCTGCAGCAGACATGTGGCAATATTTGGAGGTTTTTTTGTTTTTTTTTTTCAGTATGGGGGATTGAACTCACGACCTCATGCTTGCCAGGCAGGTGCTTATGCCCCTGAGCTAAATCCCCAGCCCTGAAGTTTTTTCATTGTTGCAGTTAGAAGGAGTGCCACCAGTGTTGAATGGAGAGAAGCTAAGAATCCTGCTAAAATCCTCCAGTGTGCAGGACAGCCACCCCTATAAATACCCCATCCAAGATATTCTGAGAGATTCTGAGACCCAGACCTGACCTACAACCTCTGCCACACAATGGGTGTTAACATTTTTCCAAAACTCCATATGTTCAGAAGTAGGCTTTCTGAAGGACTTTGCATCCTGGGGTTCTGTCTCATCAGTGACCGATAGCAGAAAGGGCTGTTGGGCTGGGGCCTGATTTTAGAGTGTATTGTCTATGGCTCCTCCCTTCTCTCCCTCTTTCTGCCTGCCATAGGGTGCCCAGCTTTCCTCTGCCCTTGTTCCTCCTCCATGGTGTTTCTGACTCTGAGCTAGCTGACCACGGACTGAAGCTCTGAGCCAAATTAACCCAAGTTGGTATGTCAGGTTCTTTGTCCCAGTGACAAGAAAATGGCTGTTACACAGGGTTCTATAAATACTTGTTGGAGGAATCTCATTTAGTTGTTTATTTTCTCTTGGAGTTTGTTCTCTAGAATACATATATTTCTTGATTTTCATGTTTCCAAAAATGGAAAATAATTTATTTCATAACCCTTTAGGTTTCCTTTCCAAAACTCACACCTTCTTTTTTAACCTTTCAAATTCTGTTAAATCAAAACTTAGTAAATATTTGCTCAGTCACAGATCACACTGACTTTAATGTATAACTTTTGTTTTCTTTAGAGTTAATAATAGGTTTATACTTAGTTTGATAATATTTTTGTTTCTCTTAAAATTGACTGTTATAATTAATATTAAAACATTATGTTAATATTATGTAATATAAATATAATTTATATTATAAATGTTTTAATTAATTAAAGTGCTTTTATTTGTTATTTTTTAAATTTTGAAGGGAATAAAACAAAACAAAAGAGAACAATATTGAATTTCAAAAGTAAGACAGAAGGAAATATTACATATTGTTATCCTCTAAACAGATCCTCAGACTACTAGCCTTAGATCTGCAAAGTCAATCAAACAACACAAGCAGTAAGTTGTTTTTGTACCTTAGGTGGTATCATCCCAGCCTGTGTTCCTCCAAATCAGCCAATTAGCTGGTTGCCTATGAGTGGTGGGATGAGGGCTCTTCTCCCAGCGTGCACGCTGGCTGGCTTATGGGATGGGCAGCTTAACTTTTTGGTTCTTCTCCTAGCCTGCGTGACTGCTGCTGGCTTCCGTTTTTAGTGTTTTTAACTTTTAGTTTTGGTTTTGAGATAGGATCTTGTTATATAGTTCAGACTGTCTTTGAACTCATTATGTAATCCAGCCTGGCCTTGAGCTCACAGCAATCCTCCTGCATCAGCCTCCTGAATGCTGAGATTATAGACATGTGCCACCACACCCAGCTCATTTGTTAGTTTTTAATCTGTCAACTATTAATTCATTCTCAAATTCTTCAGAGAATCTACCATCTCCCTCATCTCCTGTGTTGGATTCTTTTGCTTTGTTGGTAGAACTCCCTAAGAGATTTTACCTGCTCCAATCAGGGTTGGTTAGTTACTATATTTGCTGAATAATTTTAATTTTTAAATCTTACTTTATCAGTCTCCTAGGAATACCCCTTTTTTATACTCGGTCTTTTGCTTCATCGATTTCATGTCTTTCTCTTTCATTTTTTCCTGTTTTTGGTAGAAAATATCTGCCAGCAACTTCCTTAGGAAGGGAGGTATGTTTCTGTGAATTTATATGCCTAGAAATATCTTTTATTTAAAATTAAATTTATTTGTACATTGTAGGTATACATAATCATCACATTCATCATAGAGAATTTGTACTTATATATTATGTATCATTATTCTTTTTCCCCATTCCCTTACCCTCCATCAGCCCCTCTTCCCCTCTTTATTTACAAAAGCTTTGTTAGCATTTTTCCTCATCATTTTTTCTTCTTCTTCTTTCCTTTTTTCATCCTCCCTATCCTGAGTTCTCCTTCCCATTTGAATGTTTTCTCCCTATTTTGCAATATCTATTGTATATTTTGGTTCTTATTTACACTTTCAGTTTCTCATACCAGAGAAACAATGTGATATTTACATGAGTATCTGATTTATTTCACTTAACAATATAGTCTCAAGGTACATCCATTTACTTGAAAAAGTTTCAAGGTTATCCTTCTTTATGTCTGAGTAATACTCCATTGTATAAAAAAGTATCTTTATCCACTCATTGGTTGATGGACATTCAGACTGTTTCCAAGATGTAGGTATTACAAACTGTGCCACTATAAACATAGGTGTGCCTGTATCGCTGGAGTATGATGCTTTTATTTCTTTTAAGAAGATACCAAGGAGGGGAATGGCGTGGTCAAATGAGATCGCTAGTCCTAAGTTTTTGAGGAATCTCACACTGATTCCTACAGTGGTTGCGCCAGTCTACACTCCCATCAAGTGGAGAAGGATTCCTTTTCCTCCACATCTGCCCAGCATTTGTTATTGATAATAGCCATTCTTTCTGGAGTGAGGTGAAATCTCAGTATTGTTGTAATTTGCATCTCTTGAATGATCAATGATGTTGACTGTTTTTTCATATGTTTATTTGCTGTTTCTATTTCTTTATTTGAAAAGCATGTATTCATTTCAGATGCCCATTTTCAAACTGGATTTTTAAATTTGGAAGTTCTGATTTTTTTCAGCTGTTTATATATTCTAGCTACCAGTCCTTTGAGAAACAACTGGAAAAATATTTTTCCTGTATTCTGGATTGTCTGTTTATTCTGTTGGTGGTTTCTTTTGCTGTGCAAAAGTTTTTATTTTTTAAAATGAGATGAGATCCTGGTTGTTGATTCTTTGTGATATTTCCTGTGCATCTGGGGTTTTGTTTGTAAAATTTTGCCTACACCAATGTCTTTCAGAGTTCTACCTATTCTTTCTTCCCACAGATTTAGTGTTTCTGTTTTAATATTTAGATCTTTGATCCACTTTGACTTTAGTTTAGTGCATGGTAAAAGATGTAGCTCTAGTTCTAATCTTCAGCATATAGAAAGCCAGTTTTACCGGCACCATTTATTAAAAAGGCTTTCTTCCAGTGAAGGTGTTTGGCTTCTTTGTCAAAGATAAAGTGGCTGAGTAGGCATGGAGTTGTTTCTGTATCCTCCAATCTTTTCCATTGATCCTTGGGTCTGTTTTTCTGCCAGGGCCATGCTGTTTTTAATCACAATAGCTTTTTGGTATAGATTCATGTCAGGGATTGTGATATCCCTTTCTTGCATTTGTTGCCCAGAATTGTCA